TCCCACCCTGGACATTTCTATGGATATATAAACCCGACTAGCCTAGTTTCTAACAGACCTCACAACCTCTGAGGATGCCTGCCACAGATGTGGGCAAAACGTCAGGAGGGAATGCTGCTGGAACATGGCCATGCAGTTTCTTGGTGGATAATTGCAACATTCACACTTGCGTCCAACAGACGAAAGAGTTCTTTCTCCCACCCTGGACATCATTCCATCTGTTGGAACCAAATGTGAATGTTGCAAGTGGCCACCTTCATTAGCATTGAATATCCTTGCAGCTTCAAAGCCTGCTTGCTTCCTGGTGGACAACTGCAACATTCACACCTGCCTCCAACAGGCAAGGAGTTCTTGCTCCCACCCTGGACATCATTCCATCTGTTGGAGGCAAGGGTGAATGTTGCAATTGGCCACCTTGATTAGCACTGAATAGCCCTGTAGCTCCAAAGCCTGGCTGCTTCCTGGGGGACAATTGCAACATTCACGCCTGCCTCCAACAAAGAGTTCTTTCTCCCACCCTGGACATTATTCCATGCATTGGAGGCAAGGGTGAATGTTGCTGTTGGCCACCTTGATTAGCATTGAATAGCCTTGCAGCTTCAAAGCCTGGCTGCTTCCTGGTGGACAATTGCAACATTCACATCTGCCTCCAGCAGACAGAGTTCTTTCTCCCACCCTGGACATTTCTATGGATATATAAACCCCACTAGCCTAGTTTCCAACAGACCTCACAAACTCTTGAGGACCCCTGCCATAGATATGGGTGAAATGTCAGGAGAGAATGCTGCTAGAACATAGTCATGCAGTTTCGTGATAGACAACTGCAACATTCACACATACCTCCAACAGACAAAGAGTTCTTTCTACCACCCTGGACATCATTTCATCCGTTGGAGGCAAGTGTGAATGTTGCAAGTGGCCACCTTGATTAGCACTGAATAGCCTTGCAGCTTCAAAGCCTGGCTGTTTCCTGGTGGACAATTGCAACATTCACACTTGCCCCAACAGGCAAGAGTTCTTTCTCCCATTATATATTTCTACGGATATATAAACCCCACTAGCCTAGTTTCCAACAGACCTCACGAACTCTGAGAATGCCTGCCATAGATGTGGGCGAAATGTCAGGAGATAATGCTGCTGGAACATGGCCATGATAACACATCTTCAAAAGGCATACAGCTAAAAGTCTGACCACCGAAAAGGAACTAAATAAAAATGAAAGACCGAAATGGAAGGAACTTTCGGGTTTTTCCAAAACATTGTTGTTGTTTTGAACCCGGAAGGTTCAAAAATGTGATTGCGTGTCGACAGAAAGCGTGCTTGATCCGTTTCCTTCATTCCAACTCATGCAGGTTGTTAGTTTTGGATACGAAAACTTGGCTTTGAAACCAGTTTAAGATGCTCTTCCTTGTGTCGCGTGGGAAACGATCCCCCTTCCCTGTTATTTCTGGCCCCAGGATCAAATTTTGGATTCAAGAAGTCATACCTGTAGTTCATCTCCATCCAGAGAGATTGTGAACCCAAAAGCCAATGGATCTGGGCCAAACTTGGCTTGCATACCTGGTACACACAAATTGGATTACTGGAGGGCTTTGGGAGGGATTGACCTAGAGTTTTGGGAGTTGTAGTTCACCTACAACCAGATAAACTGTGACCCCCACTAATGGACCTGGGCCAAACTTGGCACACAGAACCCTCAGGACTAACTCAACCTACTGGAGGGATTTGAGGGGACTGACCTATCATAGTGGGAGTTGTAGTTTACCTACATCCAGAGACACTGTGACCACCACTGGTGATGGACCTGGGCCATACTTGACACACAGAACCCCCAGGACTAACTCAACCTACTTGGAGGGGTTTCAGGGGACTGACTCACCGAAGTGGGAGTTGTAGTTTATCTACATCCAGAGGCACTGTGACCACCACTGATGATGGACCTGGACCAAACTTGTCACACAGAACCCCCAGGACTAACTCAACCTAGTGGAGGGGTTTGAGGGGACTGACTCACCATAGTGGGAGTTGTAGTTTACCTACATCCAGAGACACTGTGACCACCACTGATGATGGACCTGGGCCAAACTTAAAACACAGAACCCGCACAACTAACTCAACCTACTTGGAGGGGTTTGAGGGGACTGACTCACCAAAGTGGGAGTTGTAGTTTACCTACATCCAGAGACACTGTTACCACCACTGATGATGGATCTGGGCCAAACTTGACACACAGAACTCCCACAAGTAACTCAACCTACTGGAGGGGTTTGAGGGGACTGACTCACCAAAGTGGGAGTTGTAGTTTACCTACATCCAGAGACACTGTTACCACCACTGATGATGGACCTGGGCCAAACCTGACCCACAGAACCCCCAGGACTAACTCAACCTACTTGGAGGGGTTTGAGGGGACTGACTCACCATAGTGGGAGTTGTAGTTTACCTACATCCAGAGACACTGTGACCACCACTGATGATGGACCTGGGCCAAACTTGACACACAGAACCCCCAGGACTAACTCAACCTACTTGGAGGGGTTTGAGGGGACTGACTCACCATAGTGGGAGTTGTAGTTTACCTACATCCAGAGACACTGTGACCACCACTGATGATGGACCTGGGCCAAACTTGACACACAGAACCCTCCGGACTGACTCAACCTACTTGGAGGGGTTTGAGGGGACTGACTCACCATTGTGGGAGTTGTAGTTTACCTACATCCAGAGACATTGTGACCACCACTGATGATGGACCTGGACCAAACTTGACACACAGAACCCTCCGGACTAACGCAACCTACTTGGAGGGGTTTGAGGGGACTGACTCACCACAGTGGGAGTTGTAGTTTACCTACATCCAGAAACACTGTGACCACCACTGATGATGGACCTGGGCCAAACTTGACACACAGATCCCTCCGGACTGACTCAACCTACTTGGAGGGGTTTGAGGGGACTGACTCACCATAGTGGGAGTTGTAGTTCACCTACATCCAGAGACACTGTGACCAACACTGATGATGGACCTGGGCCAAACCTGACCCACAGAACCCCCAGGACTAACTCAACCTACTTGGAGGGGTTTGAGGGGACTGACTCACCATAGTGGGAGTTGTAGTTCACCTACATCCAGAGACACTGTGACCAACACTGATGATGGACCTGGGCCAAACTTGACACACAGAACCCCCAGGACTAACTCAACCTACTGGAGGGGTTTGAGGGGACTGACTCACCATAGTGGGAGTTATAGTTTACCCTGCAGGAAGAGAACACAGAACCCCACTGATGATGCATCCAGAGCAAACTTGCCCAACATACCAAACGTAGTCCTGATGGAGTTTCAGGGGGTTAACCTGGCATGATGTGAGTTGTAGTTCACCCAGAGCCTTATGTGTTTTGCAAAATAAAGTAAAAAATGAGTAGACTTCGTGTCAGGGGTAACTTTTACCTTTACTGTGGAATTTTTACAGTGTTTTATGTGCTTTCATTAGCCACGAAGGAAGGCGGGGTAAGAACTAAAATAATAATAATTATTATTATTATTCGCATTATTTGCCAATACATCACACAGGAAAGTGTCCGACGTGCGATCCAATTCAACATTATTATTATTATTATTATTATTATTATTATTATTAGAAACACAACAAGATGAGTCCACAGCAGAGTGTCTGCTGTGGACTCATCTTGTTGTGTTTCTAATAATAATAATAATAATAATAATAATAATAATAATAATAATAATAATGTTGTTGTTGTTATCATTATTATAAGCGACTCCTGATCAACCGAGGAAGGAGAAACCATTCACCTTTTGAAAAAGTTCCAGAAATAAATTAAAATTAGATTATAACCTTTTGCAATGCAATGCAACCTTTTGCAATAAGGATTTCGTGTCATAACGACACCGAAGTACCGTCACATGCAGACATTGGACAACACATATATTTCATATCGTTCGTACGATTTGCCACTCAAGCCGTTCTAGAAACACAGGAGATCCTGAACTCCTTTCAACACGATTACGGGGAGACGTTTACCTTGAAATAATCTGGCATTTTATCTACAAGGAAGGATTACATACAGGTGGCTAGACCAGGCATAGGCCAATTTGGGCCCTCCAGGTGTTTTGGACTTCAACTCCCACAATTCCTAACAGCAAGGTGTCTCCTATCGCCAAGATGGGGTTGCGATTGATTCAGTTACAGAGGCCCATAGCTTTTACTCAAATGGACGAGACTCAAGCGGGGGGAGCCCCCGTGGAGTCCAAAACTATGTTTGGAAAGATGAAGTCGGGGTCCCATCAGGAGCCACTACAATTTGTAGTGACCCCCATCAAATCATGTCCAATAATTTTGGGAATGGCGTGGCTGAGAAACCGAAACCCTCAGACAGATGATTTCCACCGGAATGGAAATAATCTATCGGAGAGATAGCAATGCGCATAGACGATGTTGTCATCAGCATATTGGAGTTCTATAACAGATGTTGATGTGACCTTGGTCTTGGCTTTCAGTCTGCTGAGGTTGTGGGCAAAGTGGGTTTGAGCTCGACAGTGGTAGCAGGGAAGGTTGAAATGCCATTTAGTAGGGTGACGGATGTTTACTATGAGTACTTGGATGTTTCTGATGAGAAGGCTGAGGGGAAAAAGGAAAGGGCCTAAGGTTGTTAGGAATTGTGGGAGTTGAAGTCCAAAACACCTGGAGGGAGGGCCAAAGTTTGCCCATGCCTGGGCTAGAAATTGGGGAAAAACAGAGTTCTGTTTGGTCCAGTCATTTACAATACATTTAAACAAGTAGCAAAGTCGACGATTCAAGGATCCACCAAAGCGAAGGAGTGATCAGAGTCCTCTCCAAGGGTTCTCCATGATCAACAATGCAAAAGTTCAACTGAAAGGAGAGGGTCTCCGGAGGATACGCAGAGTGCTTTTTGTCCTTCTGCTGCGTACGTCCAACGTTTCCGGTCAAAATGGAGTGATTTCAAGGCGGGGGGGGGGGGGGATTTCTAAAAGTGGATGGTGCTGCAAGAAGAGAGCGAAATCTAACCATTGAAAAGGACTCTTAAAGTCCACAATGAAGAAGGTATAACTAATAAAACTTGAACAGGAACACATGAACAGAAACATGAAAAACTTCCAGAGTACTAAAAACTAAGGCTTAGCTTCTCACTTTAATGCAGTGTTGCCTGAACTGAACGTAAGGTAAACAACTAAGCCTGAGTTCTCTTGTTCCTGCTTTGATTTTGGATGTAGTTTTTTTTTAAAAAAGCAGAAACTCAAAAAGTGAAATGAGAGGGTCTCTCGAGGATAAGCAGAGTGCTTTTCCTCCTGGACACAGTTTCCAGGTCAAAATGGGAGAGTAAATTCTAAGGTATTTAAAAAGAAATGGTTTTCTAAAGTGGACTGTACTGCGAGGAAAGAGATAAGACTTCGTCAAAGCAGAGCCTCGAATGCTAAAATGTCTCCATCACCAAATAAAAAAGGGGATGAGTCCATCTGAATGTTGTCCTTGAAACAAAAAAACAAAGAAACCTGGAACCCTAACATTTAAAAAAAGAGAATAAGGAGAAGTAAAAAGGTCTCCCAAGAAGTTCATTTCCTTTCGATGACGGTTACATCACAGATTCCTTTTCGCATGACTTGGCACCCTCCGAAAGCGTTGGGCCGGCCCTCTTGATCAAAGGGGAGCCTTCCTCTGCGGCGACCCCTTTTTCACCCCCGTCCAGGGGCTCCGTCTTGATCTCCATCAGCTCCTCCGCCTCCGCTTTGCCCAGCGACCGCTCCGAGTAGACCTGCAGGAGCCCGGCCCCAAAGGCATCGCCCTCCACATTCAGAACGGTGCAAGTACGGTCCCTGGAAAAGGAGGGAAGCAGACACGTCAATGGCTGGAAGATGACTCAGAACACGCTCAGAGCAAGGCACAGCGTTGGACTGGATGGCCTCTGGAGTTGCCCCTATTATTATTATTATTATTACTATTACTATTATCATTACAAAGGCTGGGTGGCAATATGTTGTGGGTACTTGGTTGTGCTTTTCCTGCATGGCAGAAGAGAGTTGAATTAGATGGCCCCTGGGGTTGCCTATTATTATTATTATTATTATTATTATTATTATTATTATTATTATTATGGCTGGATCCATGGGGTTGCTCCTATTATTACTATCATGGGGTGCTTTGACTGTGCTTTTCCTGCATGCTGGAAGGAGGTTGGACTGGATGGCCCCTGAGGTTGTTCTTATTATATTATAATTATAATGATTACAAAAGCTGGATGGACATCCATTGGGGGTGCTTTGATTGTGCTTTTCCTGCATGGCAGAAGGGATTTGGACTGGATGGCCCTGGGGTTGCTCTTATTATTATTATTATTATTATTAAATTATTATTATTACAAATGCTAATGGCCATTTGTTGGGGGTCTTTTGATTGTGCTTTTCCTGCAAGGCAGAAGGTGGTTGGACTGCATGGTCCATGGGCTTGCTCCTATTATTACTATCATTACAAAAGGTGGATGGCCATCTATTGGGGGTGCTTTGATTGTGCTTTTCCTGCATGGCAGAAGGAGGTTGGACTGCATGGTCCATAGGATTGCTCTGATTATTACTAGCATTACAAAAGGTGGATGGCCATCTGTTGAGGGTGCTTTGAATGTGCTTTTCCTGCAAGGCAAAAGAAGGTTGGACTAGATGGCCCTGGGGTTGCTATTATTATTATTATTAAATTATTATTATTATTATTAAATTATTATTATCATCATCATCATCATTGTTATTATTACAAATGCTAATGGCCATCTATTGGGGGTGCTTTGATTGTGCTTTTTCTGCATGGCAGAGGGAGTTTGGACTGGATGGTCCATGGGGTTGCTCCTATTATTACTATCATTACAAGAGRTGGATGGCCGTCTATTGGGGGTGCTTTGATTGTGCTTTTCCTGCATGGCAGACGGGTTTGGACTGGATGGTCCATGGGGTTGCTCTTATTATTATTATTATTATTATTAAATTATTATTATTATTAAATTATTATTACAAATGCTAATGGCCATCTGTTGGGGGTGCTTTGATTGTGCTTTTCCTGCACGGCAGAAGGGGTTTGGACTGGATGGCCCTGGGGTTGCTCTTATTATTATTATTATTATTATTACAAATGCCAATTATTACTATCATTACAAAGGCTGGATGGCCATCTATTGGGGGTGTTTTGATTGTGCCTTTTCTGCATGGCAGAAGGGGTTTGGACTGGATGGCCCTAGGGTTGCTATTATTATTATTATTATTATTATTATTATTATTATTATTATTACAAATGCTAATGGCCATCTTTTGGAGGTGCTTTGATTGTGCTTTTTCTGCATGGCAGAAGGGGTTTGGATTGGATGGCCCTGGGGTTGCTCTTATTATTATTATTAAATTATTATTATTATTACTATTATTACATATGCTAATGGCCATCTGTTGGGGGTGCTTTGATTGTGCTTTTCCTGCATGGCAGAAGGGGTTTGGACTGGATGGCCCTGGATTGCTCTTATTATTATTATTAAATTATTATTATTATTATTACATATGCTAATGGCCATCTGTTGGGGGTGCTTTGATTGTGCTTTTCCTGCATAGCAGAAGGGGGCTGAACTGGATGGCCATCTGTTGGGTCTTCCACTGAAATACTGTTCAGTTTAGGTTGGTTAATATTGTTCTCTCTTTCCTTTTTTTGGGGGGCACTAAGATGAGGAATGTACCGTTTGCATATTGATTTATTCATGTTGTTTTCCAATTAGTTCACACAAACACTCTCCGTCCACCCACCACTGGACTGGCCTTGTGTGTCAAACTGTAAAATGCAATACACCCAAAAGTTTGCCAATGCTTGATAAATATCTACATATATAAAAATGAAAAGGGTGTTCAACGGGACAGCAAAACGCGAAAACCCCCCAACGAAAACTCACCAAATTTGCCGTGCACATACCTCAACCCACAAGGTATGCACAACGTGAATCAAAATTCCAAACAACATTTCAACAAACTCACAATTACAAAAACCAACTGAGCATGCTCAGTGCCCAGGGGAGGAAGTACACACGCAATGCACTCTGGGAACTGTAGTTCTAGAACGCGGCCTACTTGCTGGGGGCCAGGATGCTGCACGAATGGAGAAAGGAAGGAAGGAAGGAAGGAAGGGAAGTTGAGAAGGTATATGAAAGAAGAAAGGTAGGAAAGAAAGAATACAGAGAGAGAAGGAGGATGGGAAAGAAGGGAGAAAGGAAGGAAGGAAAGGAAAGAAAGATAGAAAAAAAGAAGAAAGGAAGGGGAAGGGAAGGTGTCAGAAGGAAGGAAGGGGAATTTGGGAAGGGGAAGAGAAGAAAAAAGGCGAAGGAAGAAGAGAAAGGGAGGGAAGAAAAGAAAGAAAGGAAGTGTGGAAGTGAAGAGCGAAGGAAGGAAGGAAAGAGATAGAGAGGGAAGAAAGGAGAGAAAGAGAAAGGAAAAAAGGGAGGAGGAAGGAAAGAGGAAGAGAAGGAAGGAGGAGAGAAGGAAAGAAAAAAGGAAGGGAGGAAAGACGGAGCAAAGGAAGAAGAGAAAGAAGGAGAGAAAGAGGGAGGGAAGGAAAGAAATAAAGAGAAGGAAGGATGGGAGCAAAAAGCTAAGGAAGGAAGTAAACAGGTAGAGAAGGAAGAAAGGAAAGAAGAAAAGGAAATGAAGGAAGGAGTGAAAGAAGGAGAGAAAGAGGGAGAGAAGGTAAAGCTAGTACATTATATATACATAATAAGCAACGTACACAAGCCAATCCACTGCCAGAATGAGAGAGATGTCATTGGTCGGAAGTCCGACGGCTTCCAAGATGATGGCCAGGGTGAGGACCCCTCCGGCCGGGATCCCGGCTGCTCCAACGCTGGACGCCGTTGCTGTGACCCTGCGGGAAAGAAAACGGACCAGTGAGATATAGGGAAACCCTTTGTTGGGAGGTGTTAGCTGGCCCTGACAGTTTCGTGTCTGGAATTCCCCTGTTTTCTTTCTGAGTGTGGTTCTTTATTTACTTGCCTCAAACAGTCAAGAGTTCTTCCTCCCACAGATATATAAACTCCACTTGCCTAGTTTCCACCTTGATTAGCATTGAATGGCCTTGCAACTTCAAAGCCTGGCTGCTTCCTGGTGGACAATTGCGACATTCACACCTGCCTCCAGCAGACAAAGAGTTCTTTCTCCCACCCTGGACATGTCTATGGATATATAAACTCCACTAGCCTAGTTTCCAACAGACCTCACAACCTCTGAGGATGCCTGCCATAGATGTGGGCGAAATGTCAGGAGAGAATGCTGCTAGAACATGGCCATGCAGTTTCTTGGTGGACAATTGCAACATTCACATCTGCCTCCAGCAGACAAAGAGTTCTTTCTCCCACCCTGGACATCATTCCATCTGCTCGAGGCAAGTATGAATGTTGCAACTGGCCACCTTGATTAGCACTGAATAGCCTTGTAGCTTCAAAGCCTGGCTGCTTCCTGGTGGACAGTTGCAATTCACATCTGCCTCCAGCAGACAAAGAGTTCTTGCTCCCACCCTGGACATCATTCCATCTGCTGGAGGCAAGTATGAATGTTGCAACTGGCCACCTTGACTACCACTGAACCAAATGTGAAAGTTCCACGTGGCCATTTTGATCACCACTGAATAGCCTTGCAGCTTCAAAGCCTGGCTGCTTTTTGGTGGACAATTGCGACATTCACACCTGCCTCCAACAAACGAAACGTTCTTTCTCCCACCCTAGACATTTCTATGGATATATAAACCCCACTAGCCTAGTTTCCAACAGACCTCACAACCTCTGAGGATGCCTGCCATAGATGTGGACGAAACGTCAGGAGAGAATGCTTCTGGGACATGGCCACATAGCATGGAAATCTCACAGAAACGCAGTCATTCCAGCCATGAAAGCTTTTGACAACACAGTCATGAATTGTATTTATTACCCACCTCTTCTCATAGCTTGAAGCAGGGTATAACACAGTCAAAACACATCGACACAAAATGCACACATTAAAATACATATATTAAAACACTATATTACCATCAAATACTGGAAGGTTGAGAATCTTTGTAGTTTTGGACTTGGTGAAAAATGTAATTGGTTTCTGCTCATGCAAGAAATTGTATTTTATGTATGTAAATTGTATTTTTTTGTACAGAAATTGTACTTTCAGTGTGTAAATTGTATTTTTGTGCAGAAATTGCACTTTCTGTGTGTAAGTTGTATTTTTTGTACAGAAATTGTACTGTCTGTATGTAAATTGTATTTTTTGTACAGAAATTATATTTTGTGCAGATATTGTATATTTATACAGAATTTGCACTTTCTGTACAGAAACTGTATGTATGTATATATATACACACACACACAGAAATTGCACTTTCTGTACAGAAATTATATTTTTTGTACAGAAATTTTACTTTCTATATGTAAACTATTTTTGTACAGAAATATTTTCTATACAGAAATTGTATTTTTTGTACAGAAATTGTACTTTCTGTACAGAAATTATATTTTTTGTACAGAAATTTTACTTTCTATATGTAAACTATTTTTGTACAGAAATATTTTCTATACAGAAATTGTATTTTTTGTACAGAAATTGTACTTTCTGTATGTAAACTGTATTGTACAGAAATATTTTCTGTGCAGAAATTGTCTTTTTATACAGAAAATGCGCTTTCTGTACAGAAATTGTATTTTTTTTGTACTGAAATTGTACCTTCTGTACATATTTTTTTCCAATTCTGTGAATAGTTCTTGTTTGTGGGGACTTCCTCAATGTCATAGTTGCTGAAGTCCAAAACATCTTGAAGGACCAGGAGCAGAAAATGTTCTGAATTTGTTGAAAAGAGGTTATTAGCAAAATATTTCCGTGATTAATTATCTTGGAGTTCTCGGAGGTCACTTGGTTCTTCCTGAAGGGGCTGAAGAGCTTGCGTGGGGATGAACCTTGAAATGCCCTCCAGGAAGGAAGATGTTCCGGGTGATCTTTTAGGGGCCGATTGTGGAAACCCAACTGGAGCCAGCTAGTTTCAACCGGGTCAATCCACCTATATTTCCCCGTCGGCCAAGGGTCAAAAGTGCTCCCACCTGGCCACATTCCAGTCCCATTTGTGTGTCACGGTCCTAAAACCCTTCTGGACTCAGGGCCCGTGTCTACAAATGTTTGTCTTCAAGGACCATGCCCAGCCTTAAGACTTGCTTGGTAACTTGATCTGTTAGTACTCTTCAATTAGAATAGAATTGTTTGCAAGCGTTGTTATTCTGCAGGACATCGTGCCACACATTTTGGTGTAGTTTTTCATAAGAGTCAACCAATTCAACCTAGTTTGTGATAGCCACGAAAACAAACTTTCTGGAGTAGAATGACTACTTTCAAAGTAAGGATCGCCCACTTTAAACAGGAAGTGACACTTTCAAACCAGGAACAGATTTTTTTTTTCAAATTTTGTTACATAGTGCTATTATTATTAATTAATCAATCAATCTATATAAATCAAAGTAAGGATTGCCCAGTTAAACAGGAAGTAACACTTTCAAACCAGGAACAGAATTTTTTTCAAAGTTTGTTACATAGTGCTATTATTATTATTAATCTATACAAATAAAAATGTAATGTTAGTTTGTGGGATTAACATAACTCAAAAACCACTGCAGAAATTGACACCAAATTTGGACACAAGACACCTATCAGGCAAACGAGTGACCATCAGTCATAAAAACACTAAAAAACACAATAGAAGAGACTTGAAAAGCAAAAAAACAAACATTACAACGCATGCGCAGAATCACATATATACACAAACACACATATATACACACAAAACACATATACACAGACCGGGCCACAGCAACGCGTGGCAGGGGGCGGCTAGTAATCTATATAAATAAAAATGTAATGTTCGTTTGTGGGATTAACATAACTCAAAAACCACTCAAAAACCACTGGATGAATTAACACGAAATTTGGATAGATTACACCTATCAGGCCAATGAGCTACCATCAGTCATAAAAACACTGAAAAACACAGTGGAAGGGAGTTAAAAAGCCAAAAAAGCAAAAAGACGCTACAGCGCATGCACAAAAACGAAGGAAGGGAAGAGGAAAGAAAGGAAGGAAGGCAAGAAGGAAAGAAAAAAGGGAAGGAGAGAAAGAAAGCAGAGAAAGAAGGAGGGAAGGTTGGCCACAGCAACGCATGGCAGGTACAGCTAATAATAATAATAATAATAATAATAATAATAATAATAATATGCAAGGAAGCAGATGAAACAATAGATCCCATCCTCAGCTGCTGCAAGAAGATCGGCAGACAGACTACAAGCAGAGGCACAACACCGTTGCTCAGATGATTCATTGGAACTTGTGCCACAAACACCATCTGCCTGTGACAAAGAACTGGTGGGATCACAAGCTGGAAAAAGTTAAAGAGAATGAACACATCAAGCTACTCTGGGACTTCCAGATTCAGACAGAAGAGTTTTGGAGCACAATACTCCTGACCTCATGATTTAAAAAACAAAGTATGGATCGTCGATGTTGCAATCCCAGGTGACAGCAGGATTGCAGAGAAACAACTGGAAAAGCTGATACGATATGAGGATTTAAAGATCGAACTGCAAAGACTCTGGCACAAGCCAGTCAAGGTGGTCCCAGTGGTGATCGGCACACTGGGTGCAGTATCTAAAGACCTTGGCCTGCACTTAATTACAATCGGCGCTGACAAGATTACCATCTGCCAGCTGCATAAGACCACCTTACTGGGATCTGCATGAATTATTCATCACGCAGTCCTAGACGCTTGGGAAGTGTCCGACGTGTAACCCAATTCAACAGCCAGCAGAGTGTCTGCTGTGGACTCATCTTGTTGTGTTTCAAATAATAATAATAATAATAAACAAACATTGACAAAACCACGATCTGTCAACTGCAAAAGGCCATCTTACTTGAATAATAATAATAAACATTGACAAAACCACGATCTGTCAACTGCAAAAGGCCATCTTACTTGAATAATAATAATAATAATAATAATTAGAACAGGGCCATACAGCCTGGAAACCACACAACACTCCAATAATAATAACAACTGCAACAATGACAACGATGATAATAACACCGTGAATTCTTCTCTCAATAAGGCCCAAAGTCTCTATACTGGCCACTCTCTTTTACTTTCCTATCCACTGTCCCTTGCATGGCCCGGTGGGCCGATAATCTCAGCCCTGGCTATCTCTCTCTTGCTGACTGAGTGAGACTGTGGAAACAAGTCAACCAGCCATGAGGAGGACATGTGCGTGTTGTGGCTTCAGCTGGGCATATCTCTCAAAGGGGAAAAGGGATCATGGGACCGTGTAGAAACAAAGGGAGGATTTAAACCCGGGAGGTCGCCTCAGGTCGCCCGAAGAGGCAGCGAAAAGAGGACGAGGTCTCAAATGATCTGAGAACCAGAGTTTGGTTTGAGCTGCAGAACTGGTTGACCGGGTTGGAACTCTGGCGAGTGTCCACAATGAGAGTTTGCTTGACTTGAATGGGCTCAGTGAGCTGGGCTTTGCCCATGAATATGGCTTTGAGACTCACAAATTGGCTTTTTCTGTTTTGAGCACAAGGAGTAGATTCTAGGGAAGGAGGAACATGTGAACCGACTTAAATGAGAATCTCAAGTTGACCAGTAAACGTTGTTGTTGTTGAGGTTATTACTGTTAAATTTAGTATCACTACTAGCTGTACCCGCCACGCGTTACCGTGGCCAAGCTTCCCTCCCTCTTTCTCACCTTCTTTCTTTCTCTCCTTCCTTCCCCTTTTTCCTTTCCTTCTCTCCTTCCTCCTCTTCCTATTCATTTTGGCGTATGCGATGTAGTGTCTTTTTTGCTTTTTTGGCTT